GCCGGGCAGTTGGTATAACAGCTAAGCAGTATTTTTTATTTCTCCTGTGGCATCTGATTGGTCGTTATTGACGTGCCCGGGTGGCCGGTTGAATGTGACGGGCTCGGGTGACGGCAGGGGTCATTTTTACCACCTGAGATGTGAAAGAACAAAGGGAACCAAAAATAAAAATACACATTTTAGGTACGGTTCCATGTGATCTCATATGTACCTTTTAGTTTTGAGGTCCCTTTGTCGTGACCTTAGGTCAGATAAGGTGAAACAAGGTCAAAGTGCAGATCGATGTACCAAGTGACCTGCAATTTGGCCTGGATGCATTTTTAAGAAAAACGTCATTTGTGTTAAAATGAGATTCATTGCTCTACTTGGTCTCGATGCAGTAAAAATGGTCAAAGCTTTCCGGCTTATTTTGGTACTCGACATTACAATCGGCGTCAATAACTACCCTACAAAACTTGCTTATCAAAGCAAAAGGCTGATCGACGTAATTTTATGTCAGCAACTTGTCTGGTCATCATCAATTCATAACCAAAAATGGCATCTTTGTGATCCAGAACAGAAAATGAGCGTCAAAAACCACCTCATAAAGCGAGTTTTTAAGTAAAAATACGGGTTAGTGTTGATCTTGACCCGACCCAACGTCGATGAAAGCAGTTGCATTCCTAATGTTAAGTGCCTAATCGTCCACAAAGACATCGTTAAGTTCTGCGCTATCGTTCGACATTTCGTTGTCCTATCAGACTGAAAGGTGCCGTTTACATTGCCTTTCCTGCCAGCCGTGGTCTAATGTGGACCTTCACAGTTCGGTGACCTCACTAGGTGCATATATATATATATATATATATATATATATATATATATATATATATATATATATATATATACATATGTGTGTGTGTGTGTGTGTGTGTATATTTATATGTAGTGTATAAAATGACAGGCTACTCAATGACCTATAACTAAACGCTCAGAAGATATCTTAGAACATTGTTTGGGAGGGCGATTAATTTGACCTCCACCAGCCAAAAGCATGTTAAAGCCGGAGGCAAATCACCAATGGGATACGTATACCATGGAATCATGTATATCCGTTTCACGTACAAGTGAGTGGTAGCGAAGAGTGAATCGTAGTGAACTGGATAAGCAAATGCTTCATGCGCTTCTAAATAAAACAACCACCTGGATACAGACTTGCATCTAAAAGCTTCACGAATCCAAATGCCCCAAGTTATTAACATCGTAACTAACCAAGATGCTGAGTAACGACAGCACGTTCCGCACGTACGCCGGGAGTGGGCCGGTTTGCTTATTGAGGCCGGTTGGCTTACTGCATGCAACACAAGTTTCATCAGCCCTGTGGCGATCTTCCGTTTGGCGGTGACGCACACGTGTCTATGCATCACGTCACCTCTCACCGTTCCACTGCATCACAGTCAAGCGGGTCCGGTAATTTCGGTGACACACACGTGTCTATGCATCACGTCACCTCTCACCGTTCCACTGCATCACAGTCAAGCGGGTCCGGTAATTTACGACTGTCACGGCCCCCTCACCATCTAATAATGCCCCTTATCTAAAAGGCGTCAAACAAGGAAAGCAGAATGGACCGGGCATCTCCCTAAAGAACCGAGGAAGGAGAGGCTTCACCCTTACCAACGGGGGCCATTTTGAAAGGCCTTTCCAACTGTCCCGGCCCGGAATCATTGCTCGGTCCTGCATCTCCCATAGTGACAAAAGGCGGGTTATGACAATAAAAACATCGCCAGCTGTGACGCAACCAACACCTACTGACCCGTAGCCATCTGTCATCATTCCTCAGATAACAGTCAGTAGCAATCAGCTATGATCCATAGGCCTGCTGTAATATAGCAATTAGCTGCATCTTCCCAGCAGCATAGAGTCTCACTATGTGTCGGAGGGTATTCAAAAGAGCTGAACGGGTTAACACGCGCCCGGGCGGCCAGTTGATGCCCTTCGCTCGGTTGGGAGGGGTCAATTCGATCGCCTGAGATTTCAGACACTAAGAGAACTAGAGAAATGCCGAATTCGCAGTGTGTTGGTCTGTATGTAAACTCACTTTTGCCCAAATTTGAGGTTCCTAGTTCATGATAATCCGGTCAAATAAGGTAAAAATGATCAAACTTTATGTTGGTGTCCAAAGTGCCCCGGAATCATACAACTGTTTTGAGCCAGAGGTCACTGGAAACTCATTTAAGGTCAGTGGGCCTGTTTGACCTTTGGTGCATCATGGTGGCCAGAATCATAAGACACTGTTTTGAGTTTTGAGTTTGAATAAACGTCAAAGAATATGCCAGGCAGTATGTTCCTCAAAACAAAACGGTGACCTGGGTCGTTTAAGGTCAGTGAGCTATTCTTACCTTAAAGAAGTTCATGGCAAAGTATGACGTGGCTCCTTCAAAATGAGCACCAAGAACTGCCCCATGCAGCAAGCTCTAGAGTAATATTTGATCTTGGCCTGACCCGCATACCCAACCCCAAGTCAATGGAATTTGTTCATTCAGTTGCTGTGTTGCATGAGAAACTATCTGAGCGATGTATGGTTTCGCCTTTGTTCTTTGTTCCAACACCCCTTTGTTCCATCAGATTAGCGATTCCCTAGAAATTGTCTTCGCTGAATCCATAGCCTGACTTTGACCTGCCGTAGGTCAGCGGCCTTACAAGATGATCTAAATATTTAATACTTAACGATCCGATTTGGCACCCCCGCCCGAGCGCATGTTAATGAACTCTTCACATGAATAACACGGCCCTTTGTACACACACACACACACACACACACGCACACACACACCACACACACACACACACACCACACACACACACACACACACACACACACACACACACACATATATATATATATATATATATATATATATATATATATATATATATATATATACGACGGTACCTGTTCTAGATGCCCGCTCTTACGTTGCCAATGCTAGTGTAGGGCAATGGCCATTTTCCAACCATTTTAAACTCCATAGATCGGCACAAACGGGACAAATAGAATAGCACGGATCGCCAGTGCAGTAAATTTTAGAGAATGGATGGTGTGGAAACCAATGGGTTCAAAGTAATCAAGAATAATCACAAATTATCCTGGTGGGCTTGGGAGGAGACAAATACTTCCGTTGATTAGAAATACTGGCTCTTCGTTAAATGGAAGTGCCTCCTGGGGCTGGGTGTCGTCTTCCGTGAAACCTTAAAGTTTAAGAAATGCAAGAATGTCATTCGGGACACGATAAAGATTCAGGGATGCACAGATACCACTGGTGTATAATAAAGCGGCCGGGCCCGCGCCACAGGCCGGAGCAGGAGCATAGAGTGGTGCTTGCAATACAATCCCACCATGGACATGAAAAATCTTCACTGAAGTGGCTATCTCGGTCGAGGTAATGCGTTAATGAGTTACGCTATTATATTATATTATATATATATATATATATATATATATATATATCGATACATAGGTGCATATTGTATATGTATGTACAGAGTGGCTTCTAAGAATCCCACCCTGGTTTGGTTTTTTCGGTTATAGATTCCGTTATTAAATTTGTTTGCGCCTCAAACCGTACGGCATCGGCATCGGACTCACGTCAGAGTGGTCGGCGCCCGCTTGTACACTGCCGAATCAAAAATATCTGTTATTACGATAGCTGGTGTCACTCCAGGTTTGCAGTGGCAATTTGGGAACGGTCAGCGCCAGAGAGAGAGAGAGAGAGAGAGAGAGAGAGAGAGAGAAGAGAGAGAGAGAGAGAGAGAGAGAGAGAGAGAGAGAGAGAGAGGAGAGAGAGAGAGAGAGAGAGGAGAGAGAGAGAGAGAGAGAGAGAGAGAGAGAGAGAGAGAGAGAGAGAGAGAGAGAGAGAGAGAGAGAGAGAGAGAGAGAGAGAGAGCCGACCGTCGTGGAAGTCAGAAAGCGGCGGTTGGGTGGCCACATTCTTCGTTTTACTATATCTCTGTTGTTTTGTGGAATTTTCAGGACGTCACCTATGATTTTCTATAGCTTGTTTTATCTGACCCGCGCAGGAATTTTCCTGGTTCCAAGGTCCTCAGTAACTGTGATGGGTAAGTGTGCACTCAGCACAAGTTGGGATGCATCTCAGTCGATCAAATTACATGGTTTGGAAATTCCAAGTACTCTACGTCCATGCATGCATGAAGGAGGATTCCCTCCTCCCACATGCTACGCAAATATTGATAACGGGCTTATTCTTGGCCCGATGTGGGAAACCTGGAAGCATGAACTCTTGATCAATGCATCTTTATTACATATAGGAGGCTACATTAGAGATTATCAGATGAACAATTCCCCCACTGTCAGCGATACTGAATCATGTCAATTGAAGTATCACTCTGGTTGTGCTGGACACGAAAGCACAACGCATAATTTTCTCAGAAAGCCGGCAGCCAAGCTTTGCTAAGTGGTAAGATCTCTCGCTTGGTGCATCAACGCATACATTTTTCCGCGCCGTGTTTGTAACGTTTCTCACTGCCGTAACAGTGGTATCACAGTGAAATCCTCAACCAGCTAACATATTCTTTAAATCGCCGTTGATCTCGCAACCGGCGAGACAGCTCCATGTGCTGCGCGACAGTTTACCCGTCTGGATCGCTGCGACCCGACAGGCCAAAGTGCTGGAGATGGGGCGAGACCGACGGACGATCGACGCTCTCATCGTCACTGTGGAGGAACGTCGCCTCTACCGCACACCTGTGGCCGCCGCTCCCTCCAGCCGCGGCTCGGCGCGCGCCGCCGCCACTGCCGCTACCAACCGGCCTGGCCCGGCCGACCGTCAGTCGGAGATCCGCGGGCGACGTGGTGGCGTGTCCGGCGCCCGGGCAGGGTCCTCCTCCCTCGTGTCCGACGCCCGTAAAGTGTCCTCCTCTCCCGTGTTCGGCGCCCGGACAGGGTTTTCCTCCCTCGTGCCCGACGCCCAGACAGCGTCCCTTCCCTCTCGTCCGACGTCCGTGAAGCGTCCGCCTCCCTCGTGTCTAACGCGCGGACATAGTCCCCTTCTTCGTGTCCGAAGCCCGCAAAAGGTCCTCCTCTCCCGTGTCCGACGGCCGGGCAGCATCCTCCTCCCTCGTATTCGTCGCGGACGCCCGGCCGGTGCTCGTAAACGTCGCACCGGACAATTGTGTACAGCCCAGCCCGCTGCCCTGTGGAGGGGTCTCATGAGAGTGCCCTGCTCTGCAGCTTGGACTTGGTTCGCTCGTGTGTGTGCGGCGCGGACTCGGACGTGGCGGCAGCCCACAGGGCCGTGTGCGATGCTTCGTCCACTGCTCCTGCTCCTCTGGGCCCAGGCGACCCTCGCGCTGACCACCAGCGACAAGCAGAGTAAGTCTAGCGAGGTCACCCGGCCACGCGAACTTGTGTCCAGACCTGTGACGAATGTTAGCTGCTCGTGACGGGTCATCGCGTCTGCATGCTACGAGGCCATTTTCTGCAGTGAAAGCGAGGCCATGACCGGCTCCGTACCGACATTAATTTCATGTCGGCGCGGAGATCCACTACAGCCGGCCTCTCAGGTCTGCTCCAGCTAATTGAGCTACTGCTCGCTGCAAACGTTAGTAGACTGGGACTGTTTTTTCTGGCGCTTCTCCACCACCTGTGTTGTAGAACGGTCGCATGTGTAACATATGGTGACGTGATAGAATTGTTTGACACTGCACCTGATGTGTGGGTTTTCTGAAGATTATCTAACCGTCTCAAAGGAGAAACCTTTGAGGGCCGGCCATCTTAAATTGTTTGGTACCTCTTTGTTATGTGTTATGGGGCCCAGTAAACTCGGCAGGGTAATGTGAACTCGGTCGTCTCCAGAACCCCTGCATGTTCTCAGGGTGACGAAACATGCCTGGGTCCCATATGTAGGTCTTTTAAGGTTTAGTCTGAGCGTTTTCAACTCACGATTGCTGAGTTTGGATCTCACGCTAAGCAGTGGTAGCTGCGCGAGCCCAGACCCTTACCACCCGAGCGTGATATTCCGGGTAAGCACATAATTCTGTAGTGAAAGTTTAACAAGCCACTATGTTCGGCATGATCGCGCTGCCCTCTGACGTCACCTGGCCTCAAGCGTGGCCGCTGCCACCTGCCGCAGACCGTCCTAGTCACGGACAAATAGCGAGTGCTTAAAGCGACCACGGGTGGGCGGAACCATCCCGCCACGGGTAGGCGGACCGGAAGCATTGGGATGGCGGCATAAAGCTGGCTGAGCTATTGGGATGGTAGCAGAAAGCTGACTGAGCTGTTGGGATGGTAGCAAAAAGCTGACTGAGCTATTGGGATGGTAGCAGAAAGCTGACTGAGATGTTGGGATGGCAGCAGAAAGCTGACTGAGCTATTGAGATGGTAGCAGAAAGCTGACTGAGCTGTTGGGATGGTAGCAAAAAGCTGACTGAGCTATTGGGATGGTAGCAGAAAGCTGACTGAGCTATTGGGATGGCAGCAGGAAGACAAGATCCAGCATGTTTTGCAAACCGTTCATGTCCAACACGAAGATGAGAGTGTGCATGGCTATTATCCTTGATGAGTTAGAAAGTCCCAATGAATGTATTTTTGTGGACTAATCCACGACTCAAGCCCGTAAAACTGGTACATAGAATTCATATTACCATCTCAGCAATCCCCAGGTAAACTTACGATGGTAGGGATATTGCCGTACCTATTTTGTTGAAAACGATTGGGTTAGCACATCAGTGTATGGTACCTGTTAGGACCACGCGTCACCTCATACTGTTGTATATCAAACTGACTTAAGTTAAGCATACGCTATTCAACAACCAAAACCATGAGATCATGATAAAACCATAAACCATAAGGGATGAAGCCCTACATTCCAAGGAGGCGACATTTTTACTCCTAAATTACTTACAGCCGTGCTGAAGTAACATACCTGAGTACCTATAGTTACACATGACCTTCTTTTTACAGCGATTTCCAATGATCATGGACTAGACATTACAATATTCAGGTCCCTGGAAACAAAACATTACACCCAAAGCTGTTCTTAGCTAAAAGATATCTAAGATCAGCTAAGTATTTTTCTCTTCATTTTTCTCACGTGCTACTGTCTATGTCAGTGTGTTCAACTAAGACGTCTCCCGACACAGAATATTTGAGCACCGCAGTGCAGGCTGTGACGCAAGGCCGCTGCGCAAGCTGTGACGCAAGGCCGCAGCGCAAGCTGTGACGCAAGGCCGCTGTGCAAGCTGTAACGTGAGGCCGCTGTGCAAGCTGTGACGAGAGGCCGCTGTGCAGGCTGTGACGAGAGGCCGCTGTGCAGGCTGTGACGAGAGGCCGCTGTGCAGGCTGTGACGAGAGGCCGCTGTGCAGGCTGTGACGAGAGGCCGCTGTGCAGGCTGTGACGAGAGGCCGCTGTGCAGGCCGTGACAAGAGGCCGCTGTGCAGGCTGTGACGAGAGGCCGCTGTGCAAGCTGTGACGAGAGGCCGCTGCGCAAGCCGTGACGAGAGGCCGCTGTGCAGGCTGTGACAAGAGGCCGCTGTGCAGGCTGTGACGAGAGGCCGCTGTGCAGGCTGTGACAAGAGGCCGCTGTGCAGGCTGTGACGAGAGGCCGCTGTGCAGGCTGTGACAAGAGGCCGCTGTGCAAGCTGTGACGAGAGGCCGCTGTGCAGGCTGTGACAAGAGGCCGCTGTGCAGGCTGTGACGAGAGGCCGCTGTGCAAGCTGTGACAAGAGGCCGTTGTGCAGGCTGTGACGAGAGGCCGCTGTGCAAGCTGTGACGAGAGGCCGCTGTGCAGGCTGTGACAAGAGGCCGCTGTGCAGGCTGTGACGAGAGGCCGCTGCGCAAGCTATGACGTGAGGCCGCTGTGATCTTTCAACTTGTATGGGGACTGTCCTTCATTCTGCACCACACCCATTGGAGTCGTCTGCCCATTAGACAAAATTAGGCCACAACTCCCTTCTTCTGGCACGTTGTCATTCCCCTGCCTTGTGAAATAAACGGCACCATTCTTCCCAGACAACCACACCCGTGCTGGACCATGCCATGTATGCCACTCCATTCATGCTGGATAGTCATACAATGGTCATTCCAAACAGCCCAACGTGCCAATATGCTTTGACCGCTGTTCACGTCGAGATGCGACGAAGGACTGGCGCAATCGCAGACTCGCCAGTGCAATGGCAGGTCCGGGACGCTGTGAACATTTTGATTTCCGGACTGGCCAGTGTTCCCACTGACCAACTTTAAGAGGTCACAAACTTCGGCAAAAAGCTTTATTTGGGGAAAATTTTGACGATTTGTTTTTGTTTTCGTCGGGCTTGATAATCGACGCCTGCTGGAGCATTCGGTTTAAGATACATGGTACCTGAACTGATTCAGTTTGTTGCACACAAGTTTCATGCTAGTTGAGACAAATGCCAAAGTGCCAAAACATGTACTAAACGAAAAAAAATTTTCCCGGCTAGCCCCTTGAACGCATGCTATAATTAATGGGCCGTTTTGGGGTTAAAACTGCTTTCTAGATGATTGCGGGCGAAGTTGCAGGTCCAGCGGCCCTTGACGCCAACTAATTGGAACTTTTACGGCTTCAGCAGGCTGGCCTGGCCTAGACGGTCACGCTTTTCATTGTTTTTATCTTTACAACCTGCAGTTTTACCTCCATGAAATGTTTTAGTGCGAAACAGCACAAGTAATGAGAATTCTGCTGTAGTATTTTTGTTGCGTTTAAATGTAGGCCATTTCATCAGGAGCCGTGGTTCTAAGACGGTGCAAACACCGTTGAGCCGGTTTTTACCGTCGCCTTGTTTATCGCGCCCAGTTCTGTATCCGCCTGGATTGGAATACAACCCCGAGTCCATGACACCAGATATTTTAAAATCTATGATTCATTTCAAACTTCTTCGAGATGTTTCTTGAAACTCAGGTTCTAGGATAAAATTTGTTCGAGGTGTATTTTGGGATAAAACATCTTAAGACTCGCCTTGATGGGGGGGGGGGGGGGGCAGTACGACCTTCTTTAATGTAAGGATACATCTCCAGCATGCTGTGCAACTGCACCCAAATGTTCAGCAGCCTATGGGGCGTTCATTGCGCCCGTTGTAACACCAAAGATGTGTTCCTAGCTGTTCTGATTTCTGAGGAAGAGCTAGGCAACGGAGCAATCAATGTTGTGCAAGGGACGGTGCCGTGATCAAACCATGACGCATTGAAGAACATTTTTACTAAGCAGAGAATTGCACTGTTTAAGCAATTTTTCGCTTAAAAAGCATACCAACAGTTGCAAGTGAGCTTGTTTTATCATATCTAATGCTTGATTTGATATCCTATATATGAAAGATTCTCTTCAAGACAATAATTGAGTCACCTCTGCAAGCTCGGGTGCATGACATAATGTTTTGAAAAAGATCCTAGTGATGCAAACCAAGCTGCAACTTTGTTTGACATTTGTCGAGCTGCTTTTATTCAACTGAAAAATTATTACAATAAGGTTTATTCCAGGCAAAGCAAAATGAGATGTGTCGTATTCAGAACGTAGGCCATCAAGCTACGACATGTTCAAATGGTGGTCTCTGCCACAGATATATTCTGTCCTATCATTCGTGTTTTAATAGCTTACAGACGTAAATAAGACTCACTGCGAATTAAAATGATTAGACAATAGGGATTAAGGAATGCTGACAATAATGCTATTGGAACGTGGCATAAATACGCCTTTCGATCAAGCATAATAGATTTCAGTGCTCTGGAAATGAAACAGCACAGCTTTTCAAAAAAAACTTCGCTACATTTTGTTGAACACTTCATGGTGGTGTGGTCAGTGGTCGCAAATATGCTAGTCCACCAAAATCCTGACTGACTCAGACTTAACACACCGGAGCACTGCTGACCGCACCTGGCCGCACCGGAGCACCGCTGACTGCACCTGGCCGCACCGGAGCATTGCTGACCGCACCTGGCCGCACCGGAGCACCGCTGACCGCACCTGGCCGCACCGGAGCGCCGCTGGCCCCACCTGGCCGCACCGGGGCGCCGCTGGCCGCACCTGGCCGCGCCGAAGCACCGCTGGCCCCAGCTGGCCGCACCGGAGCACCGCTGACCGCACATCGCCGCACAGGAGCGCCGCTGGCCCCACCCGGCCGCACCGGAGCACCGCCGAACGCACCTGGCCGCACCGGAGCACTGCTGACCGCACCTGGCCGCACCGGAGCGCCGCTGGCCGCACCTGGCCGTACCGAAGCACCGCTGACCGCACCTGGCCGCACCGGAGCACTGCTGGCCGCACCTGGCCGCACCGGAGCACTGCTGACCGCACCTGGCCGCACCTGGCCGCACCGGAGCACCGCTGACCGCACCTGGCCGCACCGGAGCACTGCTG